AATTTTGGATAGCTCTAATAGCGACTAGCTTTCATCTGAAATCACTATGCCACTTTTTGGTGGCACTTTTTGACCTAAAGGCATGCCCCAAGATCAAACTGGTGTGGTTTTTGCCGTGGCTCTTTATTTTGCACGAATATTGAAGTATTGGTGCGAACAGAGGAAAAAAACAGAGGAACCTGTCGAAAACAGTCACGTTACGGGTTTGCGCTGTGCTAAGGCAATGAGAGACTAGCGCGGAGAGGAGAGTATGAGGCGAGAGAGCGCAACAGATGAGAGGGCGCCAGACAACAGCCTGCTGCGACGGGGAACATTGCAGCTGCTGCAGCTAACTTTGCAAGGCCCTAGCGCCCTTGTCGGGTGATTTCCGTGCACGGAAGTGCCACATCTGTGATTGCCCTCAGGAGTCTATGTTACAAACCGAAGAGAATCGTTCACACGACTTCTAACTGGGTAGTACAAACAAATTCTACAAAACAATGCTGTGAATAACGTAATTGCGTCGGCAACCGCAAAGGTAGTTCGTCCTTAACCGCTAAAGTCGAAGTTTAGAAGCACATGGAAAGAGCGCACGGGCTCGTAGCGTGGATAGACATAGAACTGGGATGTCCAGTTATTCTCCCTTTTTTTTTCTTGAATGGCGTCTTCTTTACGCCTATAGATTCTTTTTGAATGCAGTGAACTTTAATGCGAGGGAAGAGTATTTCTGATATTGGGTGCACCTGGCCCCTAATGTGCTCACCTATGTGCCACGCGGGTCTGAATTTGATGGTACTAAACACAAGTACCACAATATATTATTAGGTTGGAAAGAAAGTTCTGCAACACTCTTTCTAAAATTTTCTTTTTTTCTGAAAAATTCATAGGTAACATTTATGACTAACAAATGGTAGAGCATTCTCGAGGCTTCAATCCACGAGGTGGATATAAGTGCTGCAGTCAGTAGTTATCCAAGAAAATTCAAAAACCTCGACCACTAGTAAATCCACACTCCGAGTCACTGTCTAGTACAAATGTCTACATAACTATGGATTCGTGTCAAGACCAACACTATCTGCAATAGTTTCAATAGGCATGTCGTTCACCGCGATACCGCTACAACGTGTTTCACCCTTTACCAGCGCTTCCGATCTTTTGATATTTTTATAAGAAGCCAGCAGCGTCCTACACTCCATTACAGGTAGGGCTCTTACAGAGACTCCTACTACATATCCTTCGTTATGGGCACCATTGTGTAGGTAGAGGCCTAGGCTGTGGAATACCAGAAGCTGGCCGAGGCAGCTCGTCAAGAACCCTCGTACCGCGACAATATTCATTTCTTTCATGACATGCGAATCACCATGATCCGAAATAACCCGTAATAATTCGGGAGTCGTGGCGGAATTTCTTGCCTCTCCTACGTAAGTCCCCTGGTCAGAGCTAGAAGGCCTGCAACCTATCCTGGACCTTTAATCATCATCTTGATAACGAAATAATTAGACGATCAACTCCAACTCGGAAGTGAGGTCGCCTCCTTTTCTTGACCCGCACTCCGCTGGGTTTTGGAAAAGGTGCATCAGGAAATTTTCTGAGAGTTGAAGACAAGTGGTGGACACTCATGATAGAATATGACCCGGTCAGGAGTTGTAAACAAAAAAGATAGAATTGAAATCAAAAAATTGAAAAAGTGTCGCAGGACTTCCTTGCCAACCTAATATATATGAAGATGTATGAATAAGCGTACAGATGTATGAATAAGCGAATACGCCACGCACTCGTCTGCAGGCTTCGTCCTCGATTGCCGCGATTGAGAGCCGACTCCCACATTGATGATCTCCGGATGAGAGGTCCTTTATTGAGATGTAGGGCTCCCTTATTGGGGGCGCGGAGTCGATGGCAGTCGTCCAAGTCTTGCGACGGACGAAAGCAAAAAGCTCTAGCTCACTCAGACGCGGCTCTTTTATACGGTAGCGGAAGACGGAAGGCCAAAGTAAAATTTGTAACCTCTAGTGGCACTAGCTACATTTACACAGATAGTGGTGCCATGTACCTTTACGCACGCTAATGGTGCCAATCCTCTTCGCTATTGTGGGGAGAATTTGAAAACGCGATTTCAGGCCCACCTTGTGAATGAATTCAAAATCTAGCCTTCCGAAGCACAAATTATTGCAACGGTACCAAATACCAGTATACGTCTTTAGTCTTCATTTTCACCATCCTTAGTTGCTTATTTTCAGAATGCAATGCCTCATTCAACTGCGGTCTGAGAAATCAGCTGGACGAGAATCACATCGTCATTGGACATTTCGAATGCGAGGTAGAAAGGAATGAACTCCGATTGGTGGCTCTTCTCAATCGCACCCTTGGATTGCATCAGGGTGAGCTTCTTTCATAATAGTGAACTTCGATCTACAGGGTTATCTTCACCTTCGGGTAATCTTACCTCAATTTGAACGCAAGGGTAACGAAAACCCTATTATCCTGTAACAATTACTGTATGAGCAGAGAGGTTGCGATGTACCCCTCTCACATGGGAACCTTCACGCACTCCTGTAGTATCCAGGTGTGGATTCCAATGTTTTCACGGTTATCATCGCCCTTTCATCTCAAATTAGCGAATCGCTCTAGTGATATGCAGCGTGAACAAGTCGCCGTTGAAGATTTTCCAGTTTGAACGTCGGTGTTCGTCGTCGTTCCGGTCAGCACCGTGGCGTCGGCACAATGACAGCGCAATTTTGGGATCACCGGTCAGAGTCATGTTGTGAAGAAGGGATAATTAGCGTCCGCTTGACTAACGTCGCACAAAAGGCGATACAATCGCGCGCAGGTCCTCCTTCGTCACTGAATTACTGAGTCGTTACGCTCCAGTAGACGTCAAAGCTCAGTCACAAAGGGAAACGAATCTTCAAAAACTTCAGGGAAACTCGATGCATTCCCCTGCAGTTGTACAATCTCTGAAGAACATTTGGGTTCACATATTGGAGAAAGTGCTCCCTTTATGTTTCCTATATCCGCAGGCAGTCATGGAAGGCCTGGGAGCCAGGATTGACCATTCATCGAGCAAAATCCAATAAAGTAGTTTTGGAAGTGGGGGGGGAGGAGGGGTAGAGGTCTCCGGTTGGACGAACGTTTTGATTCTTTCTGTGTTGCATATGATCAGGAGAGTTTGGATGACAAATTTCTCTGGAGGTGGGAGAATGAGAGATTTTTCTTTGAAAAATTAAAACAAATGTCGAAAATTTTGGAAAATTGAGCAATCTTGGCCATTTATGCAGTGAAAAACCATTTCCGTCCTTCCCTCCCACGCCCCCTCCTCCGTTCGAGTTGGAAAGCTCGTTGTAGGGGCGAGTAGAAGGGATGGTTAGATAGGGTTGGGTAGAGCAAGACTGCTGCAGGAACGAGTAAGGGGAGGTATGAGGAACACTCTAAATCGTGTATAGGTTGTAAGGGCCTGAAGGCGATGGATATCATGGCCATAAGATGGAGTGTTCCTATTGATGTCACTGGGCGTCAGTGGGGGCGCAGGCGAACAAGCGTACAGGTTTCTTTAGAGACTTCCCTTCCCACCGATCGAGCTCAATGACGTTCATCAGGGGCCGTAAGGTATGCTTCCCCGAATGGTTGCGGGGACGAAAGTCCCTTTAAATTTTTTGTTTTGAACGATACTGTTTCTTTATTTTCAATGCATGCTTACTTTAAGCTACACACATATATTAGATGTAGGCCCTTTATCAGGACAATCCCAGTTGGGACGACAGAAAATTTAAAGGAACTTTCGTCCCCTAACCCTTCGGGGAAGCATACCTTACGGCCCCAGACTTGAAAATGTCAGGGCTGTGCTCTCGTGCTTTTTTCGCGCTTGCTCTTCATAAAGCACATCGATGAACAGCGAATCAGGTGCAAATCTTCAAGTGTGTTTCAGGGAATGTTCTTCCGGCTCATCTCCTCGGACTTGTACTGCAAACAAGAGAACATCTACTTTCGTTTCTTCTTCACTCGGAAATTCTTTCAGCGACTGTTCACAGACGGCTAAAAGGTTTGTGTCGTTCGAAGAGCGTCCTCAATATTGTCCAGTGTTTTCCTTTGAATACTTCAAAATCTGATTTATTCTATTGGCGAACCGTTAGCCACGCGCTCTTCATCTTCGTTGGCGCGATTTCGCGCCTTTTGATCATTCCAATCCTGAAGGATGTTCACAGCTGGTTAGGCGCTAACTTCGGCGTCATCATCTACAGTTCACTAGCAGCGTATATGCAACATCATGAAAATTAGGAGGAGGGGTGTGTAGCAAGAAGTCACCGCGCGACCATTAGGCCGATGTCATATTTGCGAAGTGATTCGCTAGGCGTTCCCAACCAGAGTCAACCCTGCGTTGCGCAGTTCGCAACGGCACGTTGAGAGATCCTCAACGCACGCTGTATGGGCGGAGACACAGACGGCTCGAGCATGCGAGTGTGAATGTTCGCGCGAGAGAACGTGTCTAATCGGGCGAAACTGCGCAACGTGGCCGTTGAGAACTGCGCAACGCAGGGTTGACTCTGCCCGGCCATCTTTCAAAACAGCGTTCCACTGTCACGTGACACTGTTTGAAAGTGGCGGGATACTTCCTTTGAAACGTTTGGTCCGGCGCCACTATTGAGTCGCTGGTGCAAGTTCGATTCGCTGTCGCAACGCTCGGATCCAGCGATTCGCTAGCCGATCGCACGATTCGCAAACTATGACATCGCCCTTTCTCCTACTTGTAGTTCGAACTTGCGCGCGAGATGGAGATAGGTTTTGGGCAGCACGCCATATGCATCCCTTCGACGTCGTATTTATAGTATTCCCTCAATCCGCGCTAGTAGTGTTCCTGTAACGAAAACAGCATTACTATACGATGCTGAGCGACACAACACGCAATAAGCTAACGCAGTCAATTCACATCATTGTCCAGATATCTGGACTACGAACGTGCGCGACGTCGGCTGACTTCTTGCTACACACCTGAGAGTTGGGGTTATCAATGGTGGCACTGCAGTCCGTTGAACCGCAGTCGATACTGAGGCTTTGCATGAGGCATGGACTACCTACTAGCACCCCCCCCCCATCTACCAACGTACACCCCTTGCGCTGACGAGCCGCCAGTGCGTTACCCGACTTTCAGCTATACCTACTTTCTATCTTGTTTAGGCCGATGTCAGACTTTGCGAATCGCGCGATTCGCTACTAGCGATTCGCGCGATTCGCTAGCGTCCGCGGTCGCGTTGCGGTACCAGCCAATTGAGTGATTCACTGGCCGCGACGCGACCGCAGACGCTAGCGAATCGCGCGATTCGCAAAGTCTGACATCGGCCTTAGCTAGCTGCATATCGCTTCATAAAATTTTTCCTCGCAGGCAGTAGTCACGATGGTTGGGGGCGCTGCGGATTGGTGACTCCATCAAATGTCATTTGACTAGACCCTTCAGCGCGCTAGGAGGGTGTTTTGCACCGCCTCTTTTGCCTTCTACTATGATGTTCAAGGACGACATTACCGCATCACCCTCCAGCCATCGTGCCCTGCAACTACTTTGAAGAAATCTTTCCAAAGGGTAATTTTTCAATACCCATCATAACGAGTTACCTTTTTAAGGAATCCCTTTGTCAAGACGATAAGCAGCCGTACAGCCGTTGTCATCCTGGTCGCAATGACCGTCTTCACGTTCTTCATGTTTCTGCTCATCTACTTCTCTCAAGTCTACGTGAACTGGAGCCGAATCGTCAAAGGCGATTGGAGTCACAAAGACTACCGAAAAGTACCACATGTTCAGTACAGCTCGGAAAGGATCACAATGAATGGACAAATCGCACCCGAACGTCCCAATTTCGAAACCCAATATTAGCAAAACAGCTAAGTTCTGAAGATAAGCGCTTTTTGCAAGTGAAATGTACAGAATCTTGAGATAATTGTAAGCTTAGGAGCTAAGCTAAGAGCCGTAAGGATTGGAGGCCTTATAGAAGCGTCAATCTGTTTTGTGAACTGGTTCGAATAGGCACATTGGGGAAGCGTCACGTTATCCTCTGATCTCATAAATGGTCATTACGGGATTTTATCATTAATATGTTATTGTGCTCAATTGATACGCTCACTTCCAGTCTTCGTTTTCCTTGCTACAGCTTAAATATGTCTCG